TCCAAGCAAAGCCCCCCAAATCGATGAGTCAGGCTTTATTGGCATTGATTCTGTAAATTTCTTTGCTTCGTTCAATCGACCATTACGGGCGAGTAAGTCAACCATGCAAGCATAATGTTCAGGCCCGGGTTTAATATTATGGATTTTAGTCATGGAATCGAAGTACTTGAATCCCACTTCAACTTGTCCTGTATGGCTGCAAGCTGACAGCACCGAAACGAAAGTAATATATTCTGGCACAATTCCGTGCTTCAGCATCTTCTCAAATAATTCAATCGCTTCATTTGCACAGCCATGTTGTTGGTAAACCGTTATCATAGCTGTCCATGAAACCACATTATGATCCTCAGTTTCTTCGAAGACCCAATAAGCATCAAGCAAGTTCCCACATTTTCCATACATAGTTATCATTGAACTCAGAATACATGCATTCTTCATGAACCCCGTTTTCAAGATCTGGGCATGGATCGAAGTACCCTGAATCAGTGTTGCGAGATTAGCAGAAGCATGAAGAGCGGAAGAGTATGAAACCTCATCGGGTGCCAGGCCTTCCCTTCTCATGGCCTGGAAATAACTGCAGGCTGCTTCAAAGTTGTCATTATGGACACATCCCATGATCATCACGTTCCAGGTAACAACATCTCTATCTCCTGTGTTATAGAACATCTTCATTGCATCATCAAACAATCTACATTTTGCGTACATGTCTACCAGTGAGTTTTTCACATAAACCACTGTTATCGAACCACGCTTAATAATGTTTCCATGCACCTGTTTCCCGAAATCGACTCTAGCCGCATTAGCACAAGCACTCAACACGCTTGAAAAACTCACTTGATCCGGATCAACCAAAGTCTCCCCGAGAACCTCCCTAAAAATCCCGATAGCACGATCATACAACTTGTTTTTAAGAAACCCCACAATCATAGAATTCCAAGTAACGATACTTCTGTCTGGCATTTCACCAAACACCTTCTCTGCCATGCTTACATCCGAGCATTTGGCATACATATCGAGCAACGCACTCGCTACGAATGTATCGCTTTCAAACCCGTGTTTCCAAATCAAACCATGCATCTGTTCACCGTGAGCAACAACCAGAGCATCAGCACAAGCAGGCAAGACCGCTGAGAAGGTGAATTGGTTCGGATACACACCAGTGCACCTCATTCGGTTAAAACAGTTCAAGGCCAGAAATGGCATTTTAAAATGCGATAGCTGGGTAATGATAGTAGTCCAAGTGACCACGTTCCTTGAATCATCACGCGTGGTCGAAAACAAGAGGAGGCCGCGGTCGATGGAACCACATTTGGCATATAAGAGAAAAAGATTGTTGAGGAGGAAGGGGAGAGACGCGTAGTTGATGGTGATGATTTGGGTGTGAATTTGGGTAGCATGTTTGAGGTTCTTGAATCGTGCAGCATTGTCAATGAGGCGGTTGAGTTGGGTGGGATTCAGAGGCGAAGAGACTTGGTAGTACAGATTGCGGAACAGGGGAATAGAAACAGAAATCAGACAGCGCGGTCTTGTACAGAATTGTTGAGGGAAGAGAAATTTCATAATACTAGGTGGGAATAGGCTTCGGAGAAAGTATCAACGCCTTCATCTCTTATTATCCAGTTGGGAAACAAACAATGGGTCATCCGCCCAGTGTCTCTGTTTCTTTCGGACCTTACAGGCCTGTCGGTCAGCTTAACCCCTTCTGCTCTTGCATAATTCAAGATAAGGACGAGGCCTTTCTTTTTGACCTATTGGGCTTTGCCCTCTCTAAGCTGTGGGAAATTGGGACCAATGAAATTAATTTGACCAAAAAGGGCAATATTTAAGTCTTTTTTTTAAGCCATTGGTCTCTTTTGAAAAAAAAAATCTGAGCATTAATTATAATACTTCCGATCTTTAATATAAAAACTATTTAACTAATTTGAATAGATTAAATAAATTATTTAAGTTAGTTATTTGTAATAAATAGATATTGTCTTTTCTAAAATATCTTTTCTAATCAAGTATATTAGTTATAACTACTATTATTATAGGGGTTGTTTTTAAAAAAAGATAAATATGAGAGATAAAGTAGATTAGGGTTTTATCTACAAGACTAAAATAAAACTCAAATGAATTTTTATATTAATAACTGGATGTAATATTTCTTAGCTAACATGAATTTTTTATAATATAGCTCCTCTCGAGTTTTATATTATAACAAGATACATTTGCCATTGAAGTATAAGAGAAACACGTTCTTTTGCATTTTCATGGAATCCAATGAACAAATCGCCTGATCACGAGCTCATGGATAATCCAGGTCATCACTACGTGTTTTGTCATGCATCTCGCTATTGCGAGGGACGCTGAACCTTGATGGTGACAAGAGAGTATATGAAACTTGTGGCAGCACATAGCAAACTGGACATTGGCTCCTTTCTATTTCTAATGTCACGTGCATATAACGCCGAATTGGATTTGCCAGTTTGCATATGGACCCCTAGCTATTCCTGAAGGCTAGCTCCCAACGCTGTGTTCCTAGTAATTCATGAATTTACGAATTACATTTACAATGATTTCGCAAGCATTATATAGTATATTACTTAACTTTGAAAATGAACAGTTCACGCTGGGGAAAAAATCGAATAATTCAAATCACGATTCACGAGTACTCTTATTCTTAGCAGCTCGGAAAGATCCTTCACGAATCCTTTGAGCATACGAACTAGTGGTGCATGGTTTGCAAAAAAGTTGGGGTGTTTAGATGGAAGCCAAACTATAATTTCAAAAGTGATTTAACGGTATATATATATATATGAAGGAGTTTATCTCAATTTATAAAAAAGTGTTTTTAAAAAGCATTTCTCACAGTTCTCAAACACCCCCATAAAACAATAATGCAATGTAGAGTAAAAACCTTAAATCTGGTCCAATTATAATTCCAAAACATTTTAAAAAAATCTAAAATATAATTAGTTAATTATCATCCTAGATGCCTTGGAAGCTGACATTTCTTGGATGCCAATCATTAATTACCATATCTATTTGTTTAGATGAATAACTGTGATGTATTTTTAGTGACATCTTAGAGAGAAATATTTTTCCCATAAAATTTTTAAAATTATCTTATATAAGAAGACAGCAACATTTTGATGAGTTGACTCAAATTTATAGCATTTTGGTGTATCTAAGTAATTTATAATATATTTTCGCATAGATTTATAAAATTTTCTAATTTTACTTTTATTAAAGTTTTTCCCCCTCTCTATATTGACAAATTATTTTTATATTTTCGCCTTTTTTTTTCGTTCTAATGAAAATTAAATAAGAATAAAATTAATAAAAATATATTATGAATAATTTGTATTTAAAGTTAAGATTTTTTTTCCCTATAAGTAACTTATATTTACAAGCAGAGTTCACCCAATTGGCCGCCATGATCTGCGATCGTGTCTTGAATGGGCGGATTTTCCTAAGGCTGTCAATGATTCAATTCAATTATTATTATTATATAAATAGAAATATGTAATGGGAAGAGAAGGAAAAATTGGAAAAGATATTCGCGAAAAAGCTGGTAAACACGTGTGGACGTGGGGATGGCACCGTATTATGGGGAAGGGGCGGCTAAAATTTGCGTCCAGATACAGGGAACGAGTTTCGTCGGTTTTCTTTCTGAGGGGTGTTTGGCATAATCGCAAATATTTACCTTTTGTTTTCATCTAAATACCTCCTTAGCTCCAAAAAGGAGGAAAAAAAAGCACACAGACAAAGGCGGCACATAATGTTTTTTGGGAGGCTCGATGGTGGACCTACGAAAAAGGGTGGTTGGATCTTGGATGGTTTAATTGGATTTGGATTGGGATGTTCGGACCTCGAAACCGTGGCTCCATCGGCGCCGTTGTTTTGTGGTAGCACGGAAACATACCATCCGTAGATCTTTCGACAGCCTGGCGGCCCTCAGGCCACGTCTGATTTACCGACGCGCTCTTTTTTTCTCCCAGCTAATAGAGTAATAATTTAAATTCTTAATATTATTCTCGCACATGAAACTAAAAAAAATTCCTTAAATGATTTTTTTTTTGGCCAAGAAGAATGTCAATGATATCCATATCAAATACTGCGCCGCATTTAATTCCACGCAATATAATGCTGCAAGACGGGGATACATGTCTTCTACTAAAATTGTAAAATTGAGGATGAATATAATTTTTGTTAACTCCGCAAAACGTGTGCTTTGTTTTTTAAGATTTTGTCGTTGTTATGCAGGTAATGCAACGGTTAAAATATGATCGAGTAAAAAAAAAGATATTTATTGAGTGTACAGAGCAGTAGAAAATATCCTGTCTTCCTTGTGCATTTTTCTCAAATTTTTCATTTTGATTTACAACAAAAAATGAGAAGAAAAGGATATGAACATATTTTTTAAAATATTATTCTTAAAACGAATCTGATTCTGGAGAACTGGAAAGTGAATGAAAAGCAATGAGTTGGAAGAAGCTGGCGATGGAGTGGGAGAGCGTGGGAGACAAACATAAAGGAAAGAACGTGGGGAAAGCTGCAGGAGGATGTGGCGGGAAAAAAAGGGAGGGCGAGGGAGTAGGGAGGCGTTCAACGTGACGGATTGGCTTCTTTTGTTTGCTTTTTGACCTAAGAATATGAATTCCCTGACACATTATTTCAATTTTCAACTTGTTATTTTGAAAAAATGCTTAGCATTGTTAGATTAAGAGAACGCGACATGGGCCAGATTCGATGATAGTAATACTGATTCATCACCAGCGTCCAAGAGTCCTCATTTGTTGAGATCCATACTTTACCGAGTTACTAACTGAAATTGTTTTCTTTTCTTTTCTATTTTGATTTTTAAATAAATGTGAATGTGGTAAACACCGGTAACACCAAATAGGAAAATAGGGGGACGCGGAATAAGCGAGGTTAAGGAACCGCGTGTACTAATGGAGAGATGCCACGTGGAGATCCAGTTGGATAAGATGCATGGTTGTGTTATAAATAAGGACCGCGGGTAGCTCAGAAATCAAAATCAAAATCAAAACCACAAGAGAAGACAGAACAGCGAATCGAAGAGATCGGAAGGATTTGAAGAAATAACAAAAGAAGAAAAAGGCGAAGAAAATGGCAGACGAAGGCACGGCAACCTGCGTCGACATCCTTCTGGCCATCATCCTGCCTCCTCTCGGAGTCTTCCTCAAGTTTGGCTGCAAGGTCCCCTCTCTGTCCCCCCCCCCCCCCAAAAAAACAAAACCTAGTTTAGTATTCATGTTCTTCTTCCTCAGATAATTAACCTTATCAGTAAATATAACTGCAGGCTGAGTTCTGGATCTGCTTGGTCCTCACCTTTCTGGGCTACCTCCCCGGAATTATCTATGCCGTCTACGCCATCACTAAGTGATGACCTCTCTTACTGTAAGTTATGCCCCCCCTTCTGACATGTTTGTGTGTATGTGTAGAGCTTCACTGTGCCATTAACTGTGTTACAAGTTCTGGAAAAATTAGGAAAATTATCAAAGCCATGCGTTTCCTTGTGATGCAAAATTTTGTCATAATATTGCTTGCCATGATATTCATGCTACCAGAGTGGTTTCTCGTTCTGTGATTGTCAAGCTTGTCCATGTGCTAGGAGTGGTTGAGTGGGACAAACAAAAATAATTCAGAAGAGTCTCTTAATGCTGGTGGCCCTGGTTTCCTAACAAAATTAATAACAGTGAAAGTGACGTGAACGTTTTCAATTCAGCTTTGAGAATGCGGGGATAAATGGGTCCCATTTCCCCCGATTGGATTCGTTACGATCGTGTTTAAGTGGAGATATGCTTGAGTCCAAAAAAAAAAAAGTGGAGATATGCTTATTACCTGCTTTGTTGCTTTATTTTTTTGTCCACTTCTCTCACAAATACGCAACAACTGCTGACTCGGGTCATGATTATATCTTTGTTGACAGGTGGACGTTGAACAGTGGTTAGGGGCGTTTATGTCTTTTCGCATTGCCCCTTGACGGACAGTCACAGCACTTATTCTTTTTCTTATTTTAATTTCAAATTTTCATGTGTATTATTACTTGTGTCGAATCTGCTTTGTAATCGTACTCTTTGCTGTTTTTGTCCGATGCACGAAGAAGATGGGGTGTGAATCTGGTAGTGTGAAGATGTATGGGGTGTGAATCTTATTAGCGTGTAGGTGTATTTGGTGTCGGACATCTCACAGATTGTTATTATTATTATTATTATTCGTTCCGAGTGAACAATGATAAAAATTCCACCCCATTAATAATTAATTATTCCATTATTATTTCTTCAGAGCATCTTCTTGTCGCAATTCCAGACTTTCTGTGAACTGCGTGTCTCCGAGCCTAAATTCCGCAACAGTTAAGTGCCTTGTACGAGAAGCTATTGTCTTTAATCTAATCATTACTCAGGGGAAGGAATACACACACACTAACATATAATATTGCATATATTCTTCAGTAGTAAGAAACTGACACCGTTAATTCATTTATTATATAAAACTAGATGGTGCTGTCCCGTGCGTTGCACGGGAAGCAATTGCTTTAAATGAGAACCTCACCTAAAATAATGTCTCTTTATACTTTAAAGAAAAAAAACATCAAGGTGTTAACGGTACAACCATTGAAAAAACATAGAACTGCCATCCTTGTACTTGGTTAAGATGTTATTGCACAATCATCCGTTGTGAGACATCAGCAAATGACTTCTGCTTACGTTTTTTAAGGCTTCAACACAGTAGTGGCTCTCGTCCTGGTGTTCCCGGAAAACTCGTACATTTGGGGTTAACTTATCTTATTTGCAAATAAAAAACAATTCACATATTTTGGCTCAAAAAGATATATCAGTTCATGTATCCACGACAGCTTGTCAACAATTTATGCTTTCGTTTGGACAACACAAACATAAAGCACGCGTTAATGCATCCGTGTGTGGACGGGGAAGCTCTTTTGTTATGTGTTTGTGAGATTCAAACGCGTACAGAAGAAGAAGTTCAGTATTTCCCACAGGATAAGGTCAAAATATGATCAAAGTAACGTCAAAATAACAAAGAAAGAAAAGAGAAGTTCCCAATCAATGGTGGCGAGACACGTGGGTACTTTACCTTGCGTATGGGACTGATATTTCCATGTTCTATGGGTAAAGAAACTTGGATTACATGTTCCAGAAAAACCTCAAACACGTTAATAGCCATGTGTCTGGACCTAATCCAAACTATGAACTTAAGCCGACAACCGGCACATGTAGTGGGGTTGCATATGTGGCCAGCGATGTCTCTTTGGATCGAATAAAATAGGGATGTTAAATTAATTAAGAAGGATGGGACATGATTAATACGTTATATTACTATAAAACAAAACTTGATTTGATTGGGGTGACTTGGGCGCACCGTTTATACCCATCTGTTTTGCGGAAGGCGTCAGCGTAATGAACAATCACGCTGTTCTCAATGCATGTGGAAGGGTAATAAATTAAAGGAGACTTAATGTTTAGGGGGAAAAAAAGAAAAGAAAGAAAGGCGACTTAAAAGATGCATTAAAATTGAAAAATAGGTTGATTAGTACAAAAGTTTCTCTGGGCCTCCTGGGCTTTAATCAGATATCAAAATGAGTTTTAGCAAGTTTTGGCACCACAAAAAACCCAGCGCAACCTTTTTTGGTACGGGCTGCGTGTGAAAGATGTTAGACCCATACGAGTGTCAATAGTCCTCGTCCTCTTACTTCCCTGCTATTCACCTCGCCTCTTTTCAAAAAGGAGAAAAAAAGGAAAGGAAAGGAAAGAGAATTCCCGATCATTTATAAGAGTTAATGGTTTATTACTCTTTTCTGATTATTTACCAAACTTAAAAAAGAGTTAAGACTATGATCCACAAATACCTCATTTTTTTTCTTTAAATAAGTAAACATTTCGTTTTCCTTTCTTTATCATCCTTTTTTTTTTTTAACCAGCTCTTTATCTTCCCTTTTTACTTCTTTCTCTCTTTCCTTTTATTACAATTTTTGAGAATGGTCAGAAATATGATATCTTGCGGGTCCAGGTTGAAGAGCATGCAGAATCCATGCTCATCCGGGTACAAGACCCAAGTGCACTAGCCTGAAAACTTACTCATATCAAAATAATTAATGCCCTCCATGATTCTTTCTCTTCGTCTCAGATTATTCGGAGAGTCATAAACAGAGAAAATACTCATTCATGATGCAAAGAAAAGTATTTGTCTGTCACAAAAGACGGAAGAAATTCATTATAGTAACAGTTTTCAAAAGTCGAACCATAATCAATATATATATATATATATATATAGGAATATAAAGCAAGCAAAAGCCTTCGATCCATTAGTAACTCGAAAAACATACAGCGGTTACTCTTAATCCAAAGATTCTATGGCACCAAATTAGACAGCAAAAGCAAAAACAAAAACAAAGCAATTTCGCCATCTCGTTGCTGCCTTCGTCATGGGAGAAGGAGAATGACAAGGTCAGCTCTTCATCGTCCTTGCTGTCATGTTGTCTTCGTGAGAAGACGGTGGGCGGGCAAGAGCAAGTATGTCAAACTCACGGGTTTAACTAAACCCGTGATAATGATGTAAACTCGGATCATAAATTCAAATCGTAAACTTGTAAGTGTTTGCTTTTATTAATAGATTGATATTAAAAATATATAATCAAATAATTAATATATAAAAAATGAGAACAATTTCATTTAAATATATTTTAAATTTAAATAATTAAAATTATATATATCAATTTCATTTAAATCAATACTCTTTTTGAATTGTCAAGGCTGTATTGGCACATTGTCTCTTTTTTTCGTACCTTTGGAACGATATTGAACAATTTTTTTTTTGGATAGCAACTACTTTTTCGTAGCTAAATTTGACTTTTAACCTTTTTTTTTTGGTGATGCCCCTTTTGTTGTTATTCTTGAGGTTGTAATTGGGACGAATTGATGACACTAAATGCAATAACAATGCATTTATGCTGTTAATGAGTGCAATACATACAACGAATATAGTTGACTGATCTAAGAGTAAAACGAGATCTAAAAATAATTACTTTTTTAGGTGCTTTTTACATAAAATATAAATAACCAAATTATGTAGATAAAAAGTTATTAAAATTGATTAAACACGATAAATTTGTAAAAATTAAAACTTAATTTCGAAAAACACCTTTAAGGAAAGATCTATCCTTGAGGATGGATAATTAATTTAATGAGAATAACAGAGAATTAATCGGGATAAAAAAAGACTATAAGTATCTCTTGCAAATAAAAACATCATTCACACAAAATTATGTATCCACGTTGCCAATTTACCCAGCTCAATTCCTTCACGCAAATCATAAAGTACATACATTTGGGAGTTAGAGCCCAGAGTCAACATCATTCAGAAATGGAACCTCATTTAAACCTAACATTGTATCAGGCAAATTTGTGGAAAAATACTGGCCAGGCTTTAAGTATTGCGCATTCAATGTGAATGGGTGAAGTAGAACTATATAGGGCAGAGCCTACCTAAGGTTACAACACAAGAAAAAATCTAGGTTACTCGTACCTATATTCCTAGTCAAAATACGCCATGACCAGGAACAAAGTGCCTCTTGCATATCTCCCGAGCGACGCTGCAAGGAAGACAACATATAAGAAAAGGATGAAGGGTCTTGCGAAAAAGGTGAGTGAATTAACCATTCTTTGTGGGATTGAAGCATGTGCCATTGTTTTTAGCCCCTATGAATCTAATCCAAAAGTTTGGCCAAATTCAAGAGGAGCCCAGCAGGTAATCGCAAGGTTCCAAAATGCACCTGCGCCGGATGAAAAAAGGAATTTGAACCAGGAGAGTTTTGCTAGGCAAAGGATTGCCAAAATTAATGCACAACTTGAGAAGCAGCGTGAAGAGAATTGCAAGAAGGTGACAAAGCTAGCTGTATTCCAGTGTGCTGAAGGGAAGAGTATGGGTGACGAGATGATCGTGGATCTTGATGACATTGATCGCTTGACCCAGGAGAACATAAGCAAGATTAAGAATAAGATGGATGAGCTTATTTGAAACTATTTTGTTTAAATTCTCTTGTTCAAGACTTAATGTTATTTACTAGTTTGAAAGATTCACCGCTTAATAAATATGGACTCTTTTTTTAGGAATTTCATATTCTACTGCAATTGCGGGACTTTATAAGCAAATTATTAGAATTTTAATCTTTTTGCAGCATCAAACGAGAGAGAAAGACAGAGGGGAAAAGGAAGGTTTCCTACATTTCAAACAAATAGTACATCACAAAACTCGGATATTATTGAGCTTGATATGAACAGAAAATCAGAAAGCCGACACACATAAATTGTGTAATTTGCAGTACAAACTATATCTTGTGTTTCGAACTAGAGGTAGCACATCAATTTGAGGTTGATTGACTACCAAAGGTTACTCTTTTGTTGTGGACAATCAAAGGTAGCTGTAAACTAAGAAATCCCATTGAAAGAGGCCACCGAAAAATGACTTGAAAGGGATCAACTAACCTTGATTTAAAAGTGAAATAGAAGACTTTAAAAAAAAAAAAACACAACTATTAAAATTGAGCCAAATATCAGTCACATACTGCATCCCTAAACATTTGAGGAATAGAAACGATTTCCTAAAATCCGAAGTTATGTTGACACAAATTTGTGTGATTCATAGAAGATAAGTGGACATTCCGGAAAGCAAGCTCAGTGAAGTTGTTTCTACCACCCCGGGAAAATAGAGCTACCGTCATGTGAGGACAAAATAGTTGAGACTGCATTAGTGGCAATGACCTGCTGACACTGTAGATTCAAAAACTATGAAAGTCTAAAAAACGGCAGTATAAAAAGCATATCAGATCATAAGGGAAGGCACAACGAACTGAAAGGAAAGGTCTCAGGTTGTTGTATTCTATGCTGAAATCCATTCTAATAATTTACACTTCTCAACCATCAAGGTTTTAAACTAATATATCCGCTAGTCATGACAGTCAAAATATTCTAGTTGTTGCTGGGTGGATTGTGACAAATTAATGTTTTTTTTAATCCTCATTATAGAGCATCTCTGACTATCTTACCAGATCAATGAGTAGTTAATTCATTAAATTTTTTTAGAACTCAGTTTTTTTTTCCCCAAGTTTATCCATATTATAGAGCATCTCTGACCATCGTAGTAACAGAAAAGTTGCATTAGACTTAAGTGAAAGCATATCACAACATGATCATCTAAGTGCAAGCATTCTTTGTAAAGGCAAATTGACACTTCATAGATTTCCATCCACGGATCGAATTAGATCAAA